CAGATGATAAATTATATATAAACTGTCCGAATGTTCTTTTTATCCGGGCCCTTTTGGCTATACATTTAGCCATTTTCAAGGATTAAATATTTTATCTGCTAAATAAGAAATAGTTTGTTGCATGTATGTTTTATAAAATGTTTTCATTTTTTCAATACACGGTAAGATATTGTGTCCATGTTCAAAGTTAATATTATTAAGTGTTGTTATTTTTTGTTTTTATTAATAAGGCTTCCATTATTTTTAGCCTTCTTTGCATGTAGATGATGCTATTATATTAGTGTTGTCAACAAGTATGTTACGAATAGTGTCCGGTACGTGTCCATGAATATTTAAATGAGATCTAACTGAGCTATTGTCAGAAAAGATATATATATATATATATATATATATATATATATATATATATATATATATATATATATATATATATATAGGGAAGTGCCTGTAAAGCATGCAACGGGTTGACCCAAGCTTTGAGAGTGAAATTGGTTAAACGAAACTCTTAGGGACTGTCGATAGATGTGCCAGTTACGAAGTCACAAGTCATCGTTACCGAGGACTTGAGTCGGTCATTCTACATAACAAACTTTCTCTCCAGAAACTTTAACTAAGTTCTGCTCAGCATAGTTGCATTATAAATCATAGGGATTGGCTAGTCGCCCTTGTAGACGGGTATCCTAGAATACGAGTGGCCAGTTATTATTATTATATATATATATATATATATATATGAAGAAATATAGTCTTCAGATGTGCTACATTTATGGGATAAAGTGCTCAATATAAGAGATAGAGCGTGTGTAAATATAAAAGTGAAAACTGGCCTGACGATTGCATTTAGCATGAAACAGACTGTCGCCTCTAAGTATTGATTTCTATGTTCACTTATATATATATATATATATATATATATATATGAATATATATATATATATATTAAGGCGTGTTATATTTATGGGATAAAGTGCCCAATATCAGAGATAGAACCAGTGTCAGTATAAAAGTGAAAATTGAAGTCAACACTTAGAGGCAATATATATATATATATATATATATATATATATATATATATATATATATATATACGAGTAATGAATAGTGGCTTGGATTGAGGAACTGAGAGCCGAGTTCGAAATCCAGTCGAATCCATTACATTCACTTACGTGCTAATGCCTTTGAGAAAGGTGTGAATTCTCTTCTTGTCCCTCCAGCTATGGGTAAAATAGCAGGACAGACTGGGTTCTATAGCCTTGGATGGCAACTGATCTTGGAGAAGGACAACTCTGAATTCAAAACCTGCGGACGTTCGTTTGGGGAATTTGTGGCATCCGGTGCAACAAATCTCAGTATTCGGTTCTTCAAAAAGTGTGGTTGGTTCTGTACAAAACCTTCACCACTATAATGTGCTGGTGTTAGGCTGTCGGTTTCTAAGAACTGATCTGCTTGACGTCCAGTTCGACGGGAGAGTCGAGTATATATATATATATATATATATATATATATATATATATGATTATTTATTTAAAAATATGATTCCAAATCGCTACATAAGAGCTCTCATGTTTCAAAACAAGAGCCGAAAACATCAATATAATCCTTTAAATTAAATTGAGTTTAAATTAAAATGGGCTCCGTTCCATCTTCAAGCGAAATTTTTGTTGGAATAACGTATATCTGAAATTTACTTGTTTTAAAAATTGAAATCAAAATCACCATGGTAACAGCTAAAGTTTTTATTATACTATATTTTTTAAGAACAATTAAATGTATTAGAATCCCTTATAGTATGTAGAATTATTTTTACATCAAGTATAAGTATGTATATTAGATTAAAAAAAATTTTTTTTGATATTATTTAAGTAAAATTTATGACAATGACGGCAAAAATGGTTACTTAATTTCACTGATTTAGTAAACTTTTATTTTTTATATACAAACCTAGTAATATATTGTTTCTCATGAAAGTAAAATAAAAATATCTATAAGAACACCGTATTATATTATATCTTACTGTTCTTTCTTTTTATTTATATATATATATATATATATGAAAATATATAGAAAATAGGAAGGAACTGGTTAGGTAAATAATCCAAATTCCCTTAGTATTTTAGTTATTATTTTTTAAAAATAGTGCTCGATACAAAAGTAGAGCATAAATATAATTATTTATTTAAAAATATAATTCCAAATCGCTACATAAGAGCTCTCATGTTTCAAAACAAGAGCCGAAAACTTCAATATAATCCTTTAAATTAAATTGAGTTTAAATTAAAATGGGCTCCGTTCCATCTTCAAGCGAAATTTTTGTTGGAATAACGTATATCTGAAATTTACTTGTTTTAAAAATTGAAATCAAAATCTCCATGGTAACAGCAAGGGCGAATTGTTTAAATTGGGTAGCGAGTGTAGGGTGTTTATTAAGTAGCGGTATAGAGAACTTTCAAGATGGTCGGGGAAAGGTGGGGTGTCTAAAAATGGGAAGATGTATTAACCTTCGTCTAGGGTGTTTATTTAATTTATTTTAGAAAGGCGGTATAAAAAAAAGAAAAATACGTTTGTTTTTTTTCATAAAGATAAAGGTATTTAAACTACTTATTTGGGCTATGGATTATGAAGGGGTGGGGTAAGTTAATTAACTATGAATCTGATGATTGGGCTATTTGAAGTTATTATAAATTTTTTAAATTTATTCATTAACCAAACCAAAAATCTGATGTTTGCTTGTCTATTATTTAATAGATTATTATTATTGAGAATTTATTTATTCTAACATCTCAAACAGCCCCCATTTAAAAATCAATAATATTTTTTAAATTTAAAAATGGACCCAATGAAAAAAAAAAAATTGGTATACCACAGAATTAATACAACATTTATTTTCTAATTTTTTTTTGAAAAAATCCCCACCAATAACGTAATACAATAAGAACATTCTAAAACGGAGCTGCTCTGTCTTGAACGTATAATTTCATTGAAAATACATCCAAAACAGTATTAATAAAAAAAACCCGCTTTAAACCAGACGATAACGGATACAATAATAGAAAACTAGAAGATGAACATTAGAAAATAAAATAACATTGTCCAATTGAATCAAAAACAAACGTTAGAAATTTATAATATATTCCCTTTATCCATAGAAAATATGTCATACCTTTTTTTTGAAAGTATCTCTATAAAATTACTATTTCCCCAATTCGCCCTTGCTGTTACCATGCAGATTTTGATTTCAATTTTTAAAACAAGTAGATGATGTTATTCCAACAAAAATGAAGATGGAACGGAGCCGATTTTATTTAAACTCAATGATTTAAAATTAACGGATCTTGTTTTGAAAATGGAGCTTTAAGCGATTTCAAATTAACGATCCTTTGCTTATGTAATTATATTTTGCTCTTGCGAAGGATCGTTAATTAATATTTGAACCTTTTAAAACTAGGTTTTATTTTACATTCAACATTGTAATAAATTTTACTTAAATAATATCAAAAAAAAAATTTTTTAATCTTAATATACATCACTTGATGTAAAAAAATAATTCTACATACTATAAGGGATTCTAATACATTTAATTGTTCTTAAAAATACAGTATAATAAAAATTAAAATGAAAATATTTCAAATCGTAGTTAAATAAAACGTATTCTAACCTAAACACCCCAAAAATCTTTAAATTTGTTAGAAAAAACAAAATTTTTGCCGTTAACTAAATGAAAAAATTTTGTATGCATTCAACGGATGTTTTCATTGAAAAATACATTTAAATTATAATTTTTGCATCCAAATAATTATATTTGTTATAAATCTACTCTGTATTGAGTGATGATTTGAAGAATAGTCAACGATCCTGTTTGTTATTGGAAATTTATTGAAATTTTTAAAACTCTTTATATCACTTGATAAGAAACCAGAAGTGTTGAAATGCTATTTTTGTAGTGATTTTATAACATATTTAAATATATATATATATATATATATATATATATATAGAGACCAAGATATATATAGAGAGAGATTGATATTATTAGTGGTCAATTTACATATATATATATATATATATATATATATATATAGATTGATAATATTAGTGGTCAATATACATAAAAAATTGGTCGACCCTGACGATGTGTATAGGTGATACCTAGGTAGGTTTACCTGGCTCTTTAGGTTCATAGTTAGATTTGATCTACTTCGTGTATTGAGCACTTTATTTAGTTACTTTTGCTTTACACGTTTTGGATTTTTTTTTCTTTGGATTCTGAGTTTGGATTCTAGTCGATTATTTTCGCCTCAATTACATGTTCTTAGTTCTTTCTTTTTTATTCCTTATTTTTCCTTGGGTATTGGTTTGTTTAGTTACAAGCGAAAATACCCTCAAGGACACATGGCACATTGGATAAAGGCGTTGGTTAGATCCAGTGACAGGACCCAAAGAATGTGACTTCAATACCTGGTTAAGGCAGTAGAGAACTTTCAGAGGGAAATTAACAGGAGATTACTGATAACTGACATCCATCAAACATGGCACGTGGAACTAGACCAGTCTACCCCAGTGAGCGAATTAAAGGGTTCATCAGTTCGAAATTCCAACCACCTGAAGAAGGCCGGAGCGTACAACGGCCGAAACGTTGTGATAAATATGGCGACAAAGATGAGGACAATAGTCCGAATGATGTAAATAATGTAAAGCCAAAATACCTAAGGTTTTTTTCCAGACGAATATAACTATTCATATTATTATTATGATTATATATATATATATATATATATATATATATATATATATATATATATATATAAATTCCCAAGAGGATAGAATCAAACTCAATGTCCAGGACAGAGTAAGAATATCATTTATAACCATGGAATATTAGTGTTTGAGCCTTTTATATATATATATATATATATATATATATATATGCTTGCAAGCAAATATTTCTTTTAATGTAATTGTGTGAGTTTTATAGATTTTGTAACCGGCATGCCTTTTGCTCTATGGTTTATTGCGCATGCGTAGCATTCATTTTTCCGTTCGGTTTTCATTCGAATAAAAAGATGGGGCCGCAGCTGTCACCTCTGTTAGCGGCTTTTTCATTCGTTCCCATTTTGCATCAGTTCTCTTCTCTGTACAATGGAACGAATACAAAAGCCTTTCGGATAAAATCACGCAGATGATATCATTATTATTATTTCTCCGTATTTTCTCTTTCTTCCTTCCGCTTCTTCGAGTCGTGTTGCTGCACTGATTACGATTTCGCTGCGAAGAATAATGGTCGGCGGACGGCCTCGCGAGTCACGATTTGTGGAACGGATGCGTCTCACACTGAACATCGTTTTACCTAGAATTTTTCCAAGCTAGTCTGTATGCTTCTCAGTGTACATTTTACTGAGGAGCCGATTACTCGTTCTTTCACACGTCACCTGATACATCAGGCCCGGACTTGTTAATTTACTGTCGGCAAATGGTCGCCAAATCTGGATTATACATCTAGGCAAAATGTGCAAGACACTCTTCTCTCTTCTCACTAGGGTGGGTGTTTTAATATCTACTTGTTTTTTCTCACGCGTGAGCTTCATAAACGTAAACGGGCCGACAACGTCTTCATAGGTCATATACCATTTTTCAGATCAACTTTCACAAGCACCTGGTTTCTTGAATGCGTCTTAGTGCAAAGTCTGTTTTAACATCATCTGAGGTGCATCAAATGCGTACAAGGCCAATCTTCCACAGTCGTAACATCCCTGGATTCCGCTATAACCAGCATAATTTATTGTCGTATCTTGCCGGGACTCCCACGTTGAAAAGAACCGGCAAAAGAAACTTCATCATATAAAAAAGACCTAAAATCAGCAGAAATAAACCATCGACGACCAAGATAAAAATATATTATCTGTTCCAGATACAGTCAACAGACCAGCAGTTCCAGCCAGAAGCTCTGGCATTATCAGCCAGCATCTCCAGCAGTTTTAATCAGAATCTCAAGCAGTTCCAGACAGCAGCTAGAGGAGTACCAGCCATCAGCTCAATCAATACCAAGCAGCAGCTCAGGTTGTTCCAGCGAGAAGCTCAAGCAACACAAGCCAGCAACTTAAGCTGTATCAGCCATCAGATCAATCAATACCATCCGGCAGTTCAAGTTGTTCCAGCCAGCAGCTCAATCAATACCAGCCAGCAGCTCAAGTTGCTCCTACAAGCAGCTTAAGCAATACCAGACAGCAGCTCAAGTTGTTCCAGTCAGCAGCTCAAGAAATACCAGGCAGCAGCTCAAGTTGTTCTTGCAAACAGCTCAGTCAATACCAGGCAGCAGCTCAAGTTGTTCTTGCAAGCAGCTCAGTCAATACCAGGCAGCAGATCAAGTTGTTCCTGCAAGCAGCTTAAGCAATACCAGACAGCAGCTCAGGTTGTTCCAGTGAGCAGTACAAGCAATACCAGCCAGCAGCTTAAGCAGTATCAGCCATCAGCTCAATCAATACCATCCGGCAGCTCAAGTTGATCCAGCCATCAGCTTAATCAATACCATCCGACAGCTCAAGTTGTTCCAGCCAGCAGATCAAGCAATACTAGGTAGCAGCTCAAGTTGTTCCTGCAAGCAGCTCAATCAATACCAGCCAGCATCTCATGTTGTTCCAGCCAGCAGCTCAAGAAATACCATCCGGCAGCTCAAGTTGTTCTTGCAAGCAGCTCAATCAATACCAGCCAGCAGCTCAAGTTGTTCCTGCAAGCAGCTTAAGCAATACCAGACAGCAGCTCAGGTTGTTCCAGTAAGCAGTTCAAGCAATACCAGCCATCAGCTTAAGCAGTATCAGCCATCAGCTCAATCAATACCATCCGGCAGCTCAAGTTGTTCCAGCCAGCAGCTCAATCAATACCAGCCAGCAGTTCAAGTTGTTCCTGCAAGCAGCAGTATCAATACCAGCCAGTGGCTTAAGCAGTATCAGCCATCAGCTCAATCAATACCATCCGACAGCTCAAGTTGTTCCAGCCAGCAGATCAAGCAATACTAGGTAGCAGCTCAAGTTGTTCCTGCAATTAGCTCAATCAATACCAGCCAGCAGCTTAAGCAGTATCAGCCATCAGCTCAATCAATACCATCCGACAGCTCAAGTTGTTCCAGCCAGCAGTTCAAGCAATACTAGGCAGCAGCTCAAGTTGTTCCTGGAAACAGCTCAAGCAATACCAGCCAGCAGCTCAGGCTGTTCCAGCGAGCAACTCAAGCAACACAAGCCAGCAGCTCAGGCTGTTCCAGCAAACAGCTCAATCAATACCAGCCCGCCGCTCCAGCAGTTCCAGCCACCAACTCAAGCAGTACCATCCAGCAGCTCCAGCCCCATTTCTATGTCTCCATCCATCCATCCATCCATAATTGCCAGCAAGAACGGCTTGGGATAAAGTGTCTTTTTCTGAACAACAGCTTTCAACGGCTACCGAACTTTGCCTTTCAGAACAACTCTCTACATCAGAAGTCCTCAAACTTCTTTGTCCAATGCACCCTTTTCAGCATATGGCATGCCCCACTTTTGCACGATTGTCTGACTCAAAAAGTGCATCGCAAACAATATGCATATATCATTGAACATTTTCATTCTGTTCCATATTAGCACACAAACACACAAACATATATTGGCAGGGATTATATTTATAGAGGAGTATTACAAATTTAATAGTAATATAAAATGTTGATGGATTTTGAAGCATGGATAAATATACAGTAATTTGTAAAAGTTAGTGGCTCGGATTGGGGAATCAGAGATCGGAGTTCGAATTCCAGTCATATGAATTACATTAACTTACGTGCTAATTCCCTTGGTTAAGGCATGAATTCTCTTCTTCTCCACCTTGCTATGGATAAATAGCAGAACAGATTGTGTTCTATAGCCTTGAGTGGCAACAGGCCTAGGAGAAGGATACTCTGAATTCAATACAGACTTGGCGAGGGTTGGCCTCCGCCAGGTTATCTTATCCAAGAAAAACACGTCAAGGAATTCGCGATCGATATAGGAACAAATAGATGATAATTTGTTTTAAATCATAACGAATGGGGTTTTTTTAAAAATAAACTGAGGCATACTCGAATAAGATAAAGGTTTCATATAATGGCATGCAATTGTAATTCAATAAACAGAACTAAAATTAAAAGAGCCGACTGTGAAATTCTTTCTTGAGTGGGATTTTCTCCCTAGTTGAGGACACCTGCTTTCCATTTACATGCAGAGATATTGTTTGTTTACGGCACTATATATATATATATATATATATATATATATATATATATATATATATATATATATATATATATATATATATATATATATATATATATATATATATATATATATATATATATATAAATCAAAAATTGACTGATATATATATATATATATATCGATAGATACCAAATCGACTGATATATATATATATACATATCAAATGACTGATATATATATATACCAAATCCACTGTATATATATATATATATATATATATATATATATATATATATATATATATATATATATATATATATATATATATATATATATATCCCAAATCAAATCGACTGAATTTTATATATATATATATATCGATAGATACCAAATCGACTGATATGTACATATATATATATATATATATTTGAAATCGACTGATATATATATATATATATATATATATATATATATATATATATATATATATATATATATATATATCAAATCGATTGATACCAAATAGGTCGTGTTTCGATCCTCTTGAATCTTTCTGACGTCTAGGTTGTACTGTCTGCGAATGAATGATATATATATATATATATATATATATATATATATATATATATATATCATTGCGTTGTTTGTTGCTATCTCCCGTCATTCACTATCTGTTTTCGGGCCAATATACCAAAGATGTCACATTTAAAATAGATAAAGATGATCTGATTCGGGCAGAACAACGTTTCAATCATCGGACTGAAGCAGTCATCGATTCTAACGGCGGATCCATCAAGAAGATGCGCCAGGAAGAACCTCAAGATTCTTCCTGCTAATTCTTTGTCGTAGAAAACTCTTCTTTCATAACTTATGCCTCTTTTACTAAATTAATGTCTATCAAAGGTAGCCATCAGCAATTCTCGTAGTCACACCTGTCCATTGTTTGACATTGTACAACCAGTTTTTTTGCGTTGGCGTCCCCCCCTACGCCCACTTTCAACGGTGCCTTGCATGATGGTCTTGCACAGGATGTTGTACCTCGTAATGTGTCAAAACCACGCCATTTTTCTCCGTTTGACAGTGGCGGGAAGAGGTTCCTAGTGTCCCACAAAACTTACAACACTTTTCCGCACAAACTCATTGGTGTTTTGTTCCCAATAGAAAATACCAAGGAGTTTTCTTATGCATTTGTTCTCAAATGCGTGGATCCATCTCTCTGTATCTTCAGGCTACTGTGAAACATGCAGGGATTGGAGTAATGATGTGGGGCGCTGTCTGTTTTGGAGGGAAATCTGAGCTGATTCTTGTTGACAAGCGGTTGAATGGTCCAAAATACAGTCAAATATTAGAGAAAGGACTACCACTATTTGAAACCAATCAGATTGATAAGAATGTCTACCTTTTTCAAGAAGATGGAGCGCCATGTCATACGAGCAAAGTAGGAAAGGCCTGGAAGGAATCGCAAGGAATCAAGTTACTGCCATGGGTAGCTAAAATCCTGACATTAATCCAACAGAGCACGTTTGGGAGCACCTTAACCGAAGACTTCGAGAGAGTGCAACCAAAATCACATCAGTGGCAACCCTTAAAGAAATATTGCTAAAGGAGGGGCAAAATATGGCTCAGACGATTCTTGATAACTTGATCAAATCTATGAAAAATCGAATACAATCACTGGAACTAGCAAATGGAGGATCTACTCTATACCAGTTCCAAATACTTTTTATTTATGTTGAGTAGGGATTACGTAATTAAATTTTGAAATTGGATGTAGTTTATTTCTCCTTACTAAAAACTTTTCTTAAGCGACTGTACATGCAAGCTACGCTTAGGAAAATTACCAATTTACATATCATTTATTTAGACTGTAAAATTGTGATGGGCAAGTTGATCATGAAAAGTTATTGGTTATCGAGGGAGTTGGTTACGAAAATCTCTTTTGAGTGCCCGCGCTCACGGGATGACTAATATACTGCTAACAGGCTCTATTGGGTATTCGATCCTCATTGGGGATTTTGATCCAGACAGCGTACGTTGGTCTAATTAGCGTCATAGTCTTGCAGAGTGTGAAATGGTATTTGATACTCACTGAGTGTGTAGTTGTTTTGACATCGTCTCATAGTTCAGAAAATAGATTTAGAGATTTGGTTTTAATTAGCCACTCCAGGATGTTGTGTTTAAAATTATAACGAGTTCGATCGCCTCTGGTATGACGCGAAGGTGGGGGGAGATTTTGCTAGACAAAACTTATTTTTGGACTTTGTTGCTCCTCCTTTCGTTCGTTCGTTCGTCGTCGTCGTTGTTGTTTCTTTCTCTCTTTCCTTTTTCTCTTCTTACTATCACTCTTCTTCTTCTTCTTCTTCTTTTTTTCTTCTTCTTCTTTTTTTCTTCTTCTTCTTCGGTCTTTTTCTTTGTATCCCGCTACTTTCTCCTTCTCCTGCTTGATCTATTTTTTCTTCTTCTTCTTCTTCTTCTTTGTATCCCGCTCCCTTCTACTTCTCCTGCTTGCTCTAAGTCTTCTTCTTCTTCCGCTCCATCCTCTCTCTTCCTGTACTAATCATCATAATCAACATCTCTTTCTTTTTCATACCATTCCTCATCTTCTTCTTCTTCTTCTTCTTCTTCTTCTTCTTCTTCTTCTTCTTCTTCTTCTTCTTCTTCTTCTTCTTCATAATCACCATCATCACGCGCATCTTAATCTACTTCTTCTACGTACCATCATGATCATCATCTTCTTCCGGTTTATCTATTTACCTCCTCCCACTCGTATATTTTCCTCTTCCGCTTTCCCTCCCTCAGTGTTCCTCATGCACACCCGCCTTATAATCCTCGTTGTCTTTCTCCTCCCCTTCCCCTTACCTTTTCAATGTATTCTTCTGCATCGTCATTGTTTTCCAGCTATTTTTTTTTGCTGCTCTATTTCTTCTTCCGCCCATAAATTCTTCCGGAAGAATACCCGGACCAAGGTCGCGTATTTTAAGAATTTAAAACACCAAAGTAGGGAAAAAAAAGAAGAAGAAAGAATCATTAATCCGAGATTCGAACAGAATCCGAGAGGAAGTCGTCCATCTGGGCTTCAGAGAGGCTTTTATCGTGACCTTGTTGTTGGAAAATCCAAACTCACTCTCTTCCTTATCCTTTGAAGTGACTCTTTCTTGGACCCACTTTTAGTATACGCTAAAAGATTAAAGCGTGGCCGAGATCAGAAGTGGATTGGCCGTGTAATAATCTAATGTCACTTGCAATAGCGTAAATAGGTCTGTAGCAAAGCACTATTGAAAAACCTCGAAACATAGCAAGAAAAGACAGGGAGCTACCCACGTACACAAAAGTAACATGAAGTTATCTATCTATCTATCTATCTATCTATCTATCTATCTATGCCATGCTATTCATATCTATCTATCTATCTATCTATCTATCTATCTATCTATCTATCTATGTCAGTCTATTCGTATCTATCTATCTATCTATGCTAGTCTAATCATAATTATCTATCTATCTATCTATCTATCTATCTTTCTATCTATGTCAGTCTATTCATATCTATCTATCTATCTATCTATCTATCTATCTATCTATCTATCTATCTATGCCATGCTATTCATATCTATCTATCTATCTATGTCAGTCTATTCGTATCTATCTATCAATCTATCTATCTATCTATATATCTATCTATGCTAGTCTAATCATAATTATCTATCTATTTATCTATCTATCTATCTATGTCAGTCTATTCATATCTATCTATCTATCTAAATGTCTATACCATGCTATTCATATCTAACTATCAATCTATTTATCCATGTCAGTCTATTCATATCTATTTCATGCTATTCATATCTATCTATGTCAGTCTAATCATATCTATCTATCTATCTATCTATCTATCTATCTATCTATCTATCTATCTATCTATCTATCTATCTAAATGTCTATGTCATGCTATTCATATCTATCTATCTATCTATCTATCTATCTATCTATGTCAGTCTATTCATATCTATCTATCTATCTATCTATCTATCTATCTATCTATCTATCTATCTATGCCATGCTATTCATATTCATCTATGTATCTCAGTTTGTTCACATCTATCTATCTGTCTATCTATCATTTATTTTGATTCTTTGTATTTCTCTGTTCTTAATATTGGTTAGCGGTTCGTAATAAGGAATCGTAGACCAATCTCCTAATTCAAGCTGGGCTGGTTAAGTTCACTTTGAGAAAGGCATGAAACTAAGTTTCTTCAGCTCTAGGTTAAAGTGTAGGGTCTGTGTCTGAGGAAATCTTTGTTATTCTCTCAAAATTGTAAATGTTAAATTCCCATATTAAATTAAACATTCCCATAAATATCTTATGTCCCCCTAAAAACTAGATATATCTATAAAAATGCTATATTCCTATAAAAATTGTATATTTTCATAAAAATGCTATATTCCCATAAAATTAAATATTCCGATAAAAATGCTATATCCTTATAACATTAAATATTCCAATGGAAACGCTATTTTCCCATAAAACATGCTCTATTCCTATAAAAATTGCTATATTACTATAAAAGTAAATATTCCTATAAAAATGCTATATTCCTATAAAATTAATTATTCCCATAAAAATGCTATATCGGTATAAATTAAATATTCCCATAAAATGTCATATCCCAATAAATTAAATATTCCCATAAAATGCTATATTCCTATAAAAATCACATGCTCCGTGAAAATGCTATATTCTTATAAAAGTAAATACTCCCATAAAAATGGTATATTGCCATAAAAATTAAGTATTCCCATAAAAATGCTATATCGCTTTAAATTAAATATGCTCTGTACCAATAAATTAAATATTCCATTAAAAATTTTATATTCCAATAAAACATGCTCTATTCCTATAAAAATTGCTATATTCCTATAGAAACAAAATATCCTCATAAAAATGCTAGATACCTATAGAAATTAAACATTCCCGTAAAAATGCTATAATCCCATAAAGATTAAATATTCCCAGAAAAATGCTGTTTCCATAAAAATTAAATATAATTCCTCTTTGCTTGTCTTTTTTTAATTTCCTTTTTTGTTTTTAGTCTATCTATCTATCTATCTATCTATCTATCTATCGTAGTCTGTTCATTATCTGTCTATGTCTGTTCATATCTATCTTCGATATCCAAGGCTGCCAGTGAATATTCGGGAAAAACATGGCCGCCTTTATGCACGTCGCATTGAATATTTTGAGCCTTCTGATTGGTTAATCCTTCTATTGGTGAACTATAAAAGGAGTCAGCTCATTTTGGTTGACTCACTAGTACTACAGGGTACCTAGATATTCCAACACAGACTTTCACTACGTATCCATATATTCTCCACCCCAGCGATAGATTAAATAATAGGAATTATTCCTGGCAAGACCTGTCTCCTCGTGCTATCCTTTAACTTTATAAGAACCAAATGGATTACTTTTGCCATATTTGGGCAGGAGCTGCCCAGTCTCCACTTCCCAGTTTTGACAAAGTTCAAAAACCTCCCCATGTCCTTGTGGATGAAGAAATATTTTTCACCTTCCAGCCTCTTTCTCACAGGCAGGATGTGGCGAGTCTTCCAGTGCTCTATCTCTATTGCCATGGAAAGTGCTCGGACGAGCTACATTCCTTGGTTCCGCCAGGTCAGACCTTCACGGCTAGGACCAGCCATAGTACCAAACCACTCATATTCTCTCTGTATTAAACTCAGACAGCTTCTTGCCATGAACCATTGCCCTGTAGAACATATACCCTAGAAGATCCCCCCCGATCACTACATACTTAACCTGTTCAAGTCTAGAGTTAACTGTTATCTTCCCCTTCTATCTGTGTAAACTCCCCCTTAAGGCAAGCCTCTACATCTAATTATAAAAAAACAAAACAAAAAACATTATTAATGCTATATTTACTCGCAAAAGAAATAATTATTCTTACAATGCAACATGTTTCAGATTAAAATAACACAATGGGTTGATAACCCGTAAAAAATCAAATAAATTAACCAGTCAATCAGTTAAAACTCGCCCCTGCCGCCTACGCAGCATCGAACCATCCTCCTCCTTTTCCTATTTTATTGGAAACATCAACTTCCATTCGAAAAGCCCCTTCTCGAGAACCGCCATTTTCTGAAACATACTCCCGAGAAGATGCTTTCTCAAATCATGGTGATCTTAATAATCTCTTCAAATCTTGAGTCAACCGTTATCTATATTACATATCTTCATAAACAGCAGTGTTTACTCATATGCCTTAACTCGAGTGCATTTTATTGGGTGAAAAATCTATTTAAAAAATCAAAAGCAAACTCTCTTCCAGAGTGAGGATCGAACATGTAAAATGATCCAACAGACTTCCATACAATTGCTCTATGACAGGCGCCCATGGCTATTTCAGAGATAAATCTACTTGATTTGTTTCTTTGATGTAAGTGCTAAGTCTTTTCTACGTTCAGTCCTAAAAAAAAAAAAAAATAATTATATTTTGGCCATATTTGGCGTGTCGTTTCTCTGAAGATTAAACAAAACTGGTGATTGATTATCGATTTGAATAAGACAAATCGAAAGCCGTAAAGATTATCTGAACTACTTTGCACCGAACGGTTGTGGTGAGATCGAAATAAAAATTGAAAGCAAGGCGAAAATTCAAAAAGAGGCGAATGAAAAAAGGGGAAAAGAAAAAAAAAAAAAAAACACCAAACTGAAATAGAGGAAGAAGATGAAAAAAAAAACAAGATAAAGGAAAAGGAAAGAATGTGTAGTAGAAAAAAAAACCCTCAAAAAACAAACGAAATGCTTTGAAAATCAGAAAGGAATATAACCATTAACATTTATATCCATTACCTTATAACCATCACTACCACCATAGGTAATGTTTTGTTTATCATTGTCATTATTATTATTATTATTGTTGTTGTTGTTATTGTTGTTGCTGTTGTTGTAAAATGAAACTGAAATAGAGGAAGAAGATAAAAAAGAAAAAGAAACGAATGCGTAGTAGAAAAAAACGAAATGTGTTTTTACTATAGAAATATTTTGAAAATCAAAAAGGAATGGTCAATGGCCAGGAATCATTACTGATAGTAAAGTGTCATCACGATAGATATAACCATTAACACTGAAAAATTATTTTATGACTACTACTATTACTATCACTATTAGTATTATTTTTACCACTTTTAGAACCATTAACTTATAACCATCCTTACCACCATTGGTAAAGTTTTGTTTATCATTGTCATTATTATTATTATTATTGCAAATTTTTATTATTATATATGTTATTATTATGTTATAATTGTTTCTATTATATTATATACTATATATAATTGTATGTAAATATGTAATTATATTATAATGATGTAATTATGTAATATTATAATTAAATTATATATATATATAATTTTTTGTAATATGTAAGTTTTAAATATTAATTTTTTAAATTATATATTTATTAAGTTATATATTTATTATTAAATTTCTATTATTAAATTATTATTGAATTTTTTAATTATATAATTTGTATATAATTATTAAATATTACTGTCATGCAATTATTAAATATTATTAGTTAATTGTTAAATATTACATATAAAGTTATTGTAATTATGTAATTATGTTATATATTTAATTATTATGTTATAATTATGTCATCATTTATTATATGTTATTATTAAATATGTAAGTTATTATATTATTATTGTAAAATTAAGATGAATAGAGGAAGAAGATGAAAAAAAAGAAATGAAAGTGTAGTAGAAAAAACAAAATGCTTTGATAATCAGAAAGGAATGGTGAATGGTCAGGAATCATTATTGATAGTAAAAGGCCATCACGACAGATATAACCACCCTAAAATTATTTTATGACTACTAATCTTACTATCATTATTACTATCTGTTGTGGTACGATCCACCTAATTTACATAAGTGGAGTACCGACCATATAAATATGGGTTGGTACCGGGAAGACGGGGAAAGTAAGAAGAGATCCAATCGAGAGACTCTGCCCAACTGCGATTTAGTCAACCCATTCTGCAGGAAGAGTCTTCCCAAGAATATACCAAAACTAACTGTAAATATTGTGTACCTTTTCCTTGTTTCAATACATTTTGTTTACGTACATTTTGCGTTGTATTATTATTATTCCATGCTTATCCAAGCTTCAACACTATCATTATTACCACTTTTAGAACCATTACCTTTTAACCATCATTACCACCATAGGTAATGTTTTTTTATCATTGTCACTGTCATTATTGAATTTTGATAGCTTTTTAATCTTCAAAGATACATTGCAATCTGCAGGGACTGCCATATCAATAAGGAGGCTTTTTTTTTCTGTGGTCTTTAATAACAATGTCTGGGCGGTTAGCTTTGATTGTTCTGTCAGTGTGTATTGTGTAGTCCCATATTATTATTATTATACATATTATTATTCCTATAAAGAGGAAAGAGGAAAGGCTAATGCAGTCGTTGTAGTGATGATAGTGTTAGATATGCCATTTTTTATTATTATGTAAAAGAATAAACGAGAGAGGAAGACTGTAAGATTAGTAGAAGTTGTAATGATGATAGATCTGCCATTTTTATCATTATTATTGTTATTATTATTTAAAAGAATAGAGGTACCTATTGTAGTAGCAGTAGTGGGAGTGGTCATAGATTTTCAATTGATTATTATTATTATTATTATCATTATTATTATTATTTTTATTGCTGCAGTTATTATTTTATTTCCTTTGATTTCTGACGTGTACACATTTCGTTCTGGGTCCCACCAAGAGACATAAGGTTAGGAAAAAAAACAAAACAAAAAAAAACAAACAAATTTCCAAAGATAAAGCCCTTCATAAAGTGTGGACTGTACCCGTGAAAACAATTTTTTGTATTTTTTAAGACATGGACTTCCAGGAATCCCATCAATGAGTCTACTGGAATCTTTTCAAAATAATCCGAGTTCTCCAACTATAACAGGGATTATTGATGTTCCCTAATGGCATATTATTATTATTATTATTTTCTTAAAGTTTCGTTTAGATTTCAACGTCCTTGTACTTTGATAGTTATTTGAAGTTTGATAGTTTATTATTATTATTGCTATTATTATTATTATTATTATTATTATTATTATTTCATTTGATTTCTGGTGTCTACTCATTTCTTTCCGGGTCCCGACCAGAGACCGAAGGTCATAAATGGCGTCGTGATATTTTCCTCTGAGCAATTGAAAAAAAAACAAACAAAAAAAACAAAAATCAAAAACAAAAAAACAAACGAAAAAGGACAACACACGTATTTTACATAAAGACCTTCGTAAGTTGTGGGATGTACTCATGAGAACTTTTTTTTGTATTTCTTTAATGCATAGGCTTCCAGGAATCCCTTCATGAGTCTACTGGAATCTTTTCCAAACAATCTGAGGGCTCCAACTACGACAGAAATTGTTGAAGTTCTCATGAGCCACATTTTTGAGATTTTGATTTCAAGATCCTTGTATTTTGATAGTTTTTTGAAAATCTTCAAAGATACATTGCAGTCTGCAGGGACTGCCATATCAATAAGGAGGCATTTTTTTTTTGCTTGCGGTCTCTAATAACGATGTCTGGGCGATTTAATTTGATTTTTCTGTCTGTGTGTATTGAGTAGGCCCATAAAATTGTAACAGGTCCCATCTCCGTAATTGGATCTGGATTATTATTATTATTTCTTTTGATTTCTGTTGTATACACATTTCCTTCCGGGTCATAAGGTCAGAAATGTCATCATGACATTATCCACTGACCAATTAAAAAATAAAACAAAAGAAAAACATGAGATATATACATAGATAAACAGACATTTTACATAGATAAATCCCTTCGTGAGGTGTGATCTGTACTTGTGAGTGTATTTTATTATGTCTTTATGTTGAAACTTGACTAATGCATGGAATAATAATACAACACAAAATGTACTTAGAACAAAATGTATTGAAACAAGAAAGTGTACACAATATTTACATATAGTCTTTTGTATATTCTTGGGAAGACCGTTCCTGGAGAATGTGTTGACTTAGTCGCAGTCGAGCAGAGTCTCTGGATTGAATCTCTTGATTCCTCCTCTCGTCTTCCCGGTACCAACCATATTTATATGGTCGGTACTCCACTATGCAAATTAGGTAGA